GACCCCGCTCCCCGCTCCCCGCTCCCCCACCGGGACCCTTCGCACATCGCTCACCCTGGGTGCCCACCAGCACCAGCGGGATCTCGCTCGTGTTCCGGTAGTTGGCCATCCGGCTGTAGTAGTGGTAGACGGTCTGGAAGCTGATCTCATCCTCCAGGCTGAAGACAAATATAACAGCGTCCACCCACATGGCAAACTGGGGAGAGAGGAAGGGGGGCAGAGCTGAGCGAGGAGCCGGAGGACAGGGCTCCATCGCCTTCGCCAACGGCGCGGCCGGCAGACCCTTCCGGCGGGCTGGCTACGGGGTGACTCTGCTGCGACACGTGGCTGTGGCTTCGCTAACATCCTCTCATCCTGAGCACAACACGCCTGGGATGGGACCCTCCTCCCCTGCCCACCCCGGAGACGTCCTCCCCCGTGGGCATGTCCACCCTCTGTCCCAACCGCAGTCCTGCGAACAGAAGGACCAGAGCCAACCTGGAGACAACTGGGGACTGAGTGACCCAGGAGCTTTCTGTTTCATACAAAACTCCCCTCCCGGGACCCAGAGACCCCGGGAAGCCTGGCTGGACCCTCTGAGATGGGGGCCCCTCCCCGGGGCTCCCACAGGCTCCCCAGAGATGCCCCATCCCCGAGCGCCTGCTCCTCTGTCAGGAGGTCTTTGCCTGGTAAGGTCAGCTGCCAGTGGATTCCTACAGCACCCTGCGGGCGTATTATTTATCGTTATAGAAATGAACAAAACTAATGAAAATTAGGGGGCAAAATGAAAACCCAACAGCGGCCTGACTGTTGCACTTCATGCTTGTTTCACCTGAGCCGGGTGGACCTACAGCAAACCCCTTCTGGCGATAACCGCGCTGCGAGCAGCGTCGCCCCGCTTGACTCTCGCAGCCGGCCTGTAAAGCGGGGCCCAGGGACCGAGGGGCCTCCCCTCGGCGGCTTCTCCGAGTCGCACACAACTGCAACCCTGAAACAGCCTCCTCTTTCCAACTGAGAAGGAATTAAAAAAAAAAAATCCCGTTTGCTTTCTCTAAAAGAGGCCGAGGCTCCTGCATAAGCTCTGCTGGCCGAGGCGTCAGCCCTAATGTTATTTGGGGAAATTTCTGGCGGGTCAAGTAAGCTCTGATTTCCACTTATAAGCAACATATTCCATTATAGGTGAAGCTTATACGTGATTAAACTTCAGTGAACCTGAAGTTCAAGTGATAAATATAAAATTAAATGGAAACAAGAATTTAGGAACAAAGAATCCTTCGGCAGCAAACGATGTCCCTCCAGAGGCGCCAGGGACCAGGCCAGCAGAGGCACCTCCCTCCCTGTCTGTCCTGAGGAACGTTCTCTCTTCACTGAGGGGTGGAGCAGTCCCCCCCACAGCCCCCGCACCCTCAGGATCCCCGGGCCGCCCCCTCTCCCAACCCCAGGCGGCACCTGCCGGCCTCCCAGGGGAAGTGTGAACCCCGCCCTCCGGGCGCGTCCCGCCCGCCCAGCACCAGCAGGTGGCGCTGCTCCCCACCCACTGCCCCAGAGAAAACCAATCCGTTTCCACACTGCCCCAGGGCGACACTGGCAGCCCCAAGTCGGGGTTTCCTTCCTGAAGCCGCTGTCTGTGGGTGCACAGGGTGAAATGCGGTGAAATCATGAAAACGGCGGCCGTGCTTGCACACGCCTGGGAGCGGGAACCTGAGAATCGTTTTTCCCCGAATACTCCAGCCCGCTGGGCCTGTCGCGAACTTTGACAGGCTCCACCCTGACGCCCATCCCTGGAAGTGGGAATCCTCAGGGTCAGCTTCTAGGCTAAATGAGAATGAAATGTGACCTGAATAGGAGATTGGTCCACAGGGAAACCACGTGGACACTTTCTGGTGGCCAGAGGCGAAGACGGAGACCTCCGGGGGTCCTGGTCCTACCCACCTCGGCGCTGGCGCCCTCAGCAGGCTGGCCAGCGGGGTCTGTGCCCCATCGCCACGTCCAGCCTTGGGTGGTATCTCGGGGCGTCGGGACAGGAATGCTCGGAGCGACTCGAGAACGAATGAGCTGACCCAGGGCGGGCCCTCCCCAATATTACAGATTCAGCTCACAGTACATGCTCAGCTAATAAATTATGTAAATAAAACACTAAACTGGAGATCAAGTAAGAGCAAGAAAGAAGTCTTCCACGCTCGCGCTTTCTTATCTCTAGAATGCGCAACAGCCACGGAACTTTCAAAGCAACCACGCTGCGCTGCACGCAGGTTGTCAGGGGGACCGGCTCGGGAGCGGGAAGGACAGAGATTCCAGATGTCAACTCAACCGGGCTGACAAATCGGCACAGTCTGCCCTTCCTTCCTTCACCTTAGAAACATGGAAAGTGCCCGGCCAGGGTGGCTCAGTGGTTGAGCATCGACCTAGGATCCAGGAGATCAGGGTTCGATTCCCGGTCAGGGCACTGCCCGGGTTGCAGGCTCGGTCCCCAGTAGGGGGCGCGCAGGAGGCAGCCGACCAATGACTCTCATTGCTTTTTTTCTCTCTCTCCCTCCTCTCTTCCTCTCTCTGAAATCAATAAAGAAATTTAAAAAAAAAAAACAACCATGAAAAGTGACAATCGGCTGCATAGACCGAACTTCCCCCTGGGATTTTACCTGAAGGAAGAACAGAATCGGACATTTTCATGGGGCATCTGTCCCCTTTTCTTGAGCGCACTGGCCCCAAGCTCCTGGCACCGGAACCTCAGCTGGGGAGCAGCTGAAAGGCCCGGGAGCCGCTGGCGTGTGACACTCACCTGGGCCTCTGGGGGGCCCCCTTCATCTCTAATCAGCAGCAGGTAGCTCTGCCCGTCAACAACGATCTCCTTCTTGAAGCGGCCACCTGCCACACACACAAAAAAACCCCGTTACGCAGGAAGGACAGAGCGCGCGGAGGGGAGACAGACGTGGGCTTCGCTTGCGGAAAAATACACCCTGGGCTGTCGCCCTGGAGGCGACTCTGAGCCTTCAGGAGTGGGTTTCGGGTCTGCCTCTGGCACCCGCTGGGATCTGAGAGAACTGAGCTCAGGTGTAAGCGTTGGTCTTAAGGAGCCCGTGTCCGTTTCTGGCTGGGACGCACAGCCCCGCGGGCAAGGCCAGCAGGACGCGTGGCTGGGGGGTGGAATTTCGGGGTACGATTTGTGCGTAAATCCGGGGATTCTCGCTCGCTGGGGACACTCTGGTGCACAGAGTTCAGAAACAGTGAGAATGGAAGCTGTAGTTCTCTTGTTCAGTTTGCAAAACAAACAAATCTGTCGTGCCCATCGGGTGCCTCGTGGACGCCACGCCGGCAGGTTCGAGGGCCGAGAACCTGTACTCTCCTCAAGAGAAACCCAGTTCTTGGTGGGAACACAGAACATCACGGGGACGGTGCTGCCGCAGCCACAGGGCACAGGGGAGGGGGGGATGCCGACTACTACACACGGTTAGACAGGAACTACGATGGCAGCTCTGAACAGGAGGGCGGAGCGGAGCAGCACTGACAGGCGTTAGCGCCACACAGGTTAGTGAGAAGCCACGAGAGACCCTGCAGGCCGAGGGGGGACGGCGGCCCCGCGGAGGTGGCAAGGGCAGGCCCCTGCCACCAGCACCTCCTAGCACCACCCCAGGCCACCCGGCCAGGCGCCTCCTGGGTGGAGGGAGAGACCACCACTCTGGGTCCCTCGGCACCTCCAACGGAAACCGTCTTCCGAGATTCTGGGCTGAGCCCGTGCCAGGAAACCCTCACCGGGATTCTGAACGGTCTCTGAGAGGAGCCTGCTCTCCTGTCAGCTTCTTGGCACAGATGCCTTCCCGAGGCTCCATCTAAGTCCCCAATACCCGGATGTTGGAGAGCCAGCCGGCGGGACCTCCTGCCGACCCCGAGCCTGTGCGCCGGGTCCTCTGCTGCCCAGAGTCACATTTCCCTCCCCCACCAGTGGCCCGACGAGGGGACTTTCCATCCCAGAGTCCAGGGTCTGAGCCATCCCAGCACCTGAGAAGCAGACCCTGGGGCCCCCACTGACGGTGGGCCACTGTGTGAGTCTGCAGGGGGCAGCCAGGAGCTGACCTGAGCCAGCACCCACGGGAGCACACGCACCCACGCACGCACGTGCACACACAGGTACACGCACACACGAATCCACTCCCACGCTCCTTCGGGGGCACTGATGTGAGAGGTGAAACACGCTTGCTTTCCTGGGGGTCCGTTTGCTCAATAATAGAAAACAAAGACAACTTTCCAACATTAAAATGAAACAGATCATCTCTCCTGTGGATCCCCTTCACCACTGTCTGCAGAGGGGCCAGAAGGAAACACACCTGATGGGGGAACGGACGGACGGTCCGCACCTGCGTCCAGACGAGCAACTGCCGCTTCCGGCAGCAGGAGGGTCTGCAAAGGGCTCGCCGACCCCAAATGGCCAGCTCCTCGCAGGTGAGAGGAGGTAACACCCCCTCCTGGCCAGGCTGCTGTGACTAGAGAATGAGCCTAGAAACTCCTGGCACAGGACAGAGCCCCCCAACCCCCGCCCGGCACGGCAGCCGGGAGACTGACTCTGCACCAGCTGCACACAGGCCCTGGAGCTGCGCACACCTCGCTCTCGGGGGCTTCTGGCCTCAGAACTGAGGGGATACATTTCTGCTTCAGCGCCCGGTCGGTGATACTTTGTTACAGCAACCCTGGGAAACTAACGCATCCTCGGCCTGGTTACAAGCTTCTGCCTTCCTCTCCCCGTTCACCTGGAGCTCGTGCTCCCTCCTCCCTTCTTTCCCTCCCTTTGTCTGTCTGTCTCTCTCTCTCCCCCCTTTGCTTGCTATGGGCTCTGGCACCTTGAGCCAAGGACTTCAGACTAACTTTCATCCCCTCTATGAGGAGGGGCCATTCTTTTCTCTGTCAGGCCCCTTCCAACGCTAAAATCACTCCCTTCTAGCCCCTCTAAGATACACTGTATCTCATCAATATTTTACACTTGCAAACAGCAGCCACCTGCAGTTGGCTTGTACAACTTTTTCTGGTATTATACGTGCATCAAGAAACAAAATTAAATGCTCATATCCATTTGCCACGGACCCAAAGGTTTAGTAATTTAGATAAAACCCAGCCAGGTGCTCGAGCACCCGGCTGTGAGAAAGTAAGAACGTGATTAGTAAAATTTACATACAACAAACAAGTCCGACCACTGCTGTCAGTGGGCTCACCTGGGCCGTGGCCGGTGGGTGCTGGACAACACGGCCTCGCAGGTGAGTCAACAGAATTTAAAATCCGTTTTCTCCGGTCACCTGGAGAACCACAGAGGGAAAGCCTCAGGCTGAAGGCGGGTGGGGCGCCAGGCTGGTCCGCGTCCAGCGGGGCCACCGCTGCCGTTATTTCAAGTTCAAACCCTGGTCTCACCCCAGCTAACTAGTCCTGTTCTACGAAAATTTAGAGGGCACCGCCAAACTCGACACCCGATTTTATTTTTGATGCAGATTTTTAAATGCCTGTTTTATAACCCAGTTTCCAATGATTTTCCTGCAGGTCTCTCGCACCCAACATGTATTGCCAGCACTGAGCACGCAGCCTGGCTCGTGGCCCTCACGATAAGTGTGTCACTCGAATGCTGCTCCGCCCTCTCTGCCTGCCAAGTATTATGACACCACATTACATGACTCGGATAACTATGTTTAGAAAGCGTCCCCCGACCCTGGCACCAGGAGGCATGGGCCGGTGCGTGGCTCAGCACACGCCTGCGCACAGGTGCGCGGGGAGCGAGGCCGCGGGCAAGCGCAGCCGGGCGCCAGGCTCCCTGACATCGCGATGAGAAGGGAAAGGGAGGCCCCTTCACCGAAATCTGCTCCCGCCAAAGACGTGGCGAGGTCATCGGAGGGGACCAGGCAGGGAGATGTGCTGGACAGAGCCACAAGTCCCTCTGGGCTTGGCTGTCCTGAGTGTCCCTGGACAGCGGAAGCAACTGCTCTCGCCTGGTCTGAGAACACAGGCGCCGCCCTTCTGGCCTGAGCTCAACCTCGCGTTCAATTTATTACGTTTCTGGTTCCCCCAAAGGCAAGTGGTCAGAAAACTGCCCCGGGATCGTCTGCCCTGGAGCTCACCTTCCAAAGTGAGCCAAGGTCTTCATGTCCTCCCCACGCAGGTGACAGGAACAGGGACGCTGACACGCGTGTGTTGTGACCACACACGGGAAGGACAGAGCTGTTTTGTTTTTAAACATCCTTGAGAAAGACTTGAATGAAGGGCGTCCCTTACGATCCACCCGGACCCAGTTACCCTAAAGGTGCCGAGGTCACTGTCCCGAGCCCTGGCTCCGGCCGGCGGAACCGGCTCTGAGTCTGGGAAGCTGGAGTCGGCGCCGCGTCCTCGGGAGCTCAGACTCGCCGGCAGAGCTGCGCGGAGCCGGGTGGCCGCAGGGCGAGCCCGCGGAGAGGCAGGGCCCCGCTGTGTGTCCGCCTGCTCTCAGGGGAGGGCGGACGGACTTTTCCTATTCCAGAGCAGAGAAAACAGACTCTGCGCACACAGCGCCACAGACGCCGGATGTTTCCGCTGCTCTCATCTCGCTGGCTGGCCCGAGAGCCGCGAGCGAGTCATGAACCGCAAGCGAGCCTCCGCCCGAGCTCACGGAGCGCCTCTGCCTGCGGCGCCCGGGCAGGCCAGGGGTGCGCCCAAGGCCAGCGGGGCGCCCGCGGCCGGCACGCGGCGGGCTCCCAGAGCCTCTGCTCTCCCGAGGTTCTGCTAAGACAAGTTCCACACAGCGCAACACGGTCACACGTGAGCGCAGCCTTCAGGTGACTGTCCCCGCGCACGGGGTGACACCGAGAGCGCCGGGGCCCCGCCTTTTCCTGAGGCCACTCGCCGCCCAGCACGGGGCCGGCTCCAGCTCCAGGCTCATCCCTGTGCTTGGAAAAGTAAAAAGAAACCCACCCGCCCCTCAGTGTCTCACTTTCTCACCGTTCATCTTTACTGTCCGGCCCGAGAATGAACGTTCCCCTAGCGTTTCAAACTCCCCTTGTCCCGCCTCCCTTTTCCGTAAAGCGGC